CCAGTCATTGTGTGGACCAGTCAGTGTGTGGACCAGTCAGTGTGTGGATGACCTGATCACGAGATCTGAGGTTGACGAGTTCCAAAACAATTTAAATAATGAGTTACTTAATGCACAAAGGCAGAACATACCATACAGAAAACCTCAATTCAAACAACAATGACCCCAAATGGATAAATAATTATTTAAAGAATATTATTCGACAAAGGAAGGCTATAGGTTGGAGAATAAATCGTGGTGAAGTTTACCTCCGAGATTATTATGAAGTATTGGCCAGTAGGGTTTAGACCGAGATAAGAAAAGCAAAGAGGAACAATGAACTGAAGGTAGCAAGGGAGGCTAAGTCAAACCCCAAGGGATTCTTCCAAATGTATCAAACTAAAACACGAGAAAAGATTGGACCAATACACTCAGATACCGGCGAGCTAACTGATAACGACGGAGAAATGAGCAATAATGTGAATACATATTTTTCAACAGTTTTCACCACCGAAAATTTAAACATGATACCCGTGGCACTGACTATACACAGACATAGTGAAGAAATAGATTAAGCGAGATAGTAGTGACTAGTATCGATGTTAGTAACCAAATAGACAAGCTAAAGCCTAATAAGTCACCTGGTCCCGATGAGATATTTGCCAGAGTATTAAAGGAATGTACATTCCTTTAATACTAAGTATGCCCTTAGCAAAGTTGTTTAATATGACATTAAAAACCAGTGTAGTACCAGAATCCTGGAGGATAGCGAATGTAATACTGATTTTCAAGAAGGGAGATAGATCACTATCCTCTAACTACCGTCCAACCAGTTTAACATCAATTGTAGGCAAATTACTGGAAGCAATAATTTCAAACTATTCGAATACACCTGGAGAATCACAACTTTATCAATGATTCCCAACATGGTTTCACAAGTGGGGAGTTTATGTCTGACAAATCTATTAACATTGTTTTCAGCTGTTTTCGAATCAGTGGACGACGGACATGATTATGATGTAGTATACCTCGACTTTAGCAAAGCCTTCGACAGAGTCCCCCACGAAAGACTAATACGTCAAGTGGAGGCTCATGGCATTGGAGGAGATATTATGAACAGGATTAGGGTGTGGTTACCGGACAGGAAACAGCGAGTAAGCATTAACGGCACTAAAGGCTCAGTACTTGAACCATTACTATTTATTAAATACAAAAATGACATAGATACAGGCGAAGACAGCAACATAAGTAAATTTCCTGATGACACTAAAAAGGGCGTGTAATTAAATCTGACGAGGACTCCGCAAACTAGACATTTTTCGAATAGTCTGAAAAAGTACTTAGTCTAAGAGATGTAAACAGAGAAACCAGATATCATATGAACAATGTTGTTAAAGAGAAATCCGACTGTGAGAAAGATTTAGGAGTAATGATAAGTAGGAATCTTAAACCAAGTCAACAATGTGTATTTGCTCGAAACAAGGCTAATAAAGTATTGGGTTCAAACAAAGAAGTGTTAGTTGCAAGACTAGCGAGGTCATCCTAAAACTATATCTTGCACTTGTGAGACCTCACTTGAATTACACAGTTCGGTTGTGGTCACCATACTACAGAATGGATATAGAATCTAAATCCTTGACCACCGGAGGGTCAAGACCTACCAGGCGCTGCTGAGCAGCAGCCCCCCTTGGCCATGTTCAGCCCCACTCCTCAAGTCCCTCTCCCCGACAGTGGATCGGCTTCACACCTGACTACGAGATAACACAACACCACCCAGCAGAGTGAGGTACTGTGACACCACCCCACACCACACTACACGGTGTCCTCATGACCACGTGAGGTCCTTCATATCAGCACCTACAGACCAGTTACTGCACCACGTGAACACCACTGCACCCGGTGTCTTCATGACCACGTGAGGTCCTTCATGTCAACACCCGAGGACGAGTTACTACACCACGTGAACACCACACTACCCGGTGTCTTCATGACCACGTGAGGTCCTTCATGTCAACACCCGAGGACGAGTTACTACACCACGTGAACACCACACTACCCGGTGTCTTCATGACCACGTGAGGTCCTTCATATCAACACTCGAGGACGAGTTGCTGCACCACGTGAACACCACACTACCCGGTGTCTTCATGACCACGGGAGGTCCTTCATATCAACACTCGACGACGAGTTACTACACCACGTGAACACCACTCCACCCGATGCCTCCTTTACCAGCCCAGGCCCGGGCCATCAACTGTAAACTATAATAATTTGTATGTTCAATTCATGTTCCTTCTTCTCTCAGTAATGAAAGCTTTTGTTGAACGACCCACCCACCTCATGTCTTTGTATGTAATAAGTCATTTTTCTCCAATGTATATTTTCAGCCTTCGGGCTGCAGAACTTCTTCAATAAGCCGTTAATTATTATTATTAGTAGTAGAATCCTTAGAAAGAATTCAGAGGAGAATGGCACGACTAATCCCGGGCATTATGAACCTTGAGTACAGAGACAGGTTAAAGCATCTTAATTTGCACTCCCTCGCGAGACGTAGAGTGAGGGGCGATATGACAGAGGTGTATAAATGGAAGTCAGGGCTAAACAAAGGTGATATAACAAAGGTACTCAAACTATCCAACCAGAAGCGAACTCGTAATAATGGTCTTAAATTAGACGAATTTAGATTTAGGCGCGAGATAAGTAAACACTGGTTTAGAAATAGAGTAGTGGATGAGTGGAACAAGTTACCAAACATAGCTTCTAACATTGGCTGGATGGATATATGAGCGATGGGGGTTGGGTGTAAACGGGACTGCCCAGTATGGTCCAATAGGCCCGCTGCAGTTTCCTCCATTCTTATGTTCTTATGTCAGTGTATGGACCAGTCAGTATATAGACCAGTCCGTGTATGGACCTGGGGACCAATCAATGTGTGGACCAGTGTGGCTAGTCAGTGTGTGGGCCAGTCAATCTGTGGACCAGTCAATCTGTGGACCAGTCACTGTATGGACCAGTCACCGTGTGACCAGTTAATGTGTGGACCAATGAATGTGTGTACCAGTCAGTGTGTGGACCACATACTGCACAATACATATTGTATAAATGTATACTGGTACCTATTCATGTATTTTTATGTATTTACATATTTCATACATATACACATTTGTAAACACAGACAGGCAAACATAATCACTGAGTCTCTCGTAAAGAGGTTACGACATCTGTGTTAATAACTCGTGTTGCTACTTATTGACACTTCAACCTAACCTAACCTAACCTAACCTAACCTAACCTAACCTAACTCAGTTGTAAAGTTAAGTGTTATCCCCCTCCCCTCCCCTCCCTCCTCCTCCCCCTCCCTTCCCTCACCTCCCGTCCCTCCTCCTCCCTTCCCGTCCCTCCTCCCTTCCCCCCCTCCCCCCATGGTAGTGTCATGGTAGTGTCATGGTAGGTATGGTATAGGTATGGTAGTGTGGCAGGTATGGTAGTGTCATGGTAGGTATGGTAGTGTCATGGTGGTATGGTAGTGGGCAGGTATGGTAGTGTCATGGCAGGTAGGTAGGTAGTGTGTCATGGTGTGCAGGTATGGTAGTGTCATGGTAGGTATGGTAGTGTCAGGTGCCAGTGTATGGTATAGTGTCATGGTAGGTATGGTAGTGTCGGTATGGTGCAGGGTATGGTTGGTGGCCATGGTAGGTATGGTAGTGTCATGGTAGTATGGTGTGGGTATGGTAGTGTCATGGTGGTGGTGTCTGTGGGTGTCATGGTAGGTATGGTAGTGTCATGGTATGGTAGTGTCATGGTAGGTAGTGTCATGGTGGTATGTATGGTAGGTATGGTAGTGTCATGGTAGGTATGGTAGTGGTAGGTATGGTAGTGTCATGGTAGGTATGGTAGTGTCATGGTGGGTGGTATGGTAGGTCATGGTGTGGTGTGTCATGGTAGGTATGGTAGTGTCATGGTGGTATGGTAGTGTCGGGTGGTAGGTATGGTAGTGTGTAGTGTCATGGTAGGTATGGTAGTGTCATGGTGGTAGGTATGGTAGTGTCATGGCAGGTATGGTAGTGTCATGGTAGGTATGGTAGTGTCATGGTAGGTATGGTAGTGTCATGGTTGTGTATAGTAGTGTCATGGTAGGTATGGTAGTGTCAGGGGTAGTGTATGGTAGTGTCATGGTGGTGTAGTATCATGGTAGGTATGGTAGTGTCATGGCAGTAGTGCCATGGTAGGTATGGTGTAGGTAGGTATCATAGGTATGGTAGTGTCATGGTATGGTATGGTAGTGTCATGGTAGGTATGTAGTGTCATGGTAGGTATGGTGTGGTAGGCAGTGTCATGGTAGTGTCATGGTAGGTATGGTAGTGTCATAGGTATGGTAGTGTATGGTAGGTATGGTAGTGCCATGGTAGGTATCCATGGTAGGTATGGTAGTGTCATGGTAGGTATGGTAGTGTCATGGTAGACATGGGTGTCATGGTGTATAGGTGTCAGTGTCATGGTAGGTATGGTAGTGTCATGGTAGGTATAGTAGTGTGTCATGGTAGTGTATGGTGTATAGTAGTGTCATGGTAGGTAAGGTAGTGTCATGGTAGGTATGGTAGTGTCATGGTAGGTATGGTAGTGGCCGCAGGTTCACAAGTGGCAGGCATGGCTGTGATGAGCCCCCAGACGGGCTTATTTTAGGTGTGGTCCCGCTGGTCTCCTGCCCCCCACTCCTCTCTTGTACCCCTCCTTTCTTGCCCCCTCTCATCCCCCTCCCCTCATGTCCCTACCCCTCACCCCCATCCGGTGCCCACTCCTCTATGTACACACACACACACACACACATGCACGCACTCATGTGCACATTCATGCACGCTTGTCCGCTGGACTTATTACTGGATATTGTTGGGGTTGTGGGCGTGGGTGGAGGTGGTGGTGAGTGCGGGCGTGCGTGGGGTGTGTGGCTGGGCGGTGTGTTGCCACCTGGCGCCCCTCACCTCACTGCCAGCTGGGGACCGCCCGGCCCTCTGCCCCGTGCTGGCTCCCACACCAGCTTTCGCCGCCGCTGTCTTGTGCCCTCACGCGCCACGCCTTTATTCTGGTTCTTCTCGCAGTAATGCCCCGCCTTCAGGTGTAGTGAACCAGGGTGTTGTGGGTGTGGCGAGTACTGGTGTGTGTGTGTGTGTGTTTGTGAGGACGGGGTGTAGAGGTGTGGTTGTGGGTGGCGGGCGTGGTGGTGGCGCCAGGAGTGGGCAGCCCGGGCCAGTCGCCAACCACTGGGCGGGCCTGGTGCAGCGCCGCCGTGCTCCTGGTGTGGTGCAGGCAAGGTGAGGCAGTGACATGCAGTGCCGGTCCCTCGCACTGTGACGGGGGCCATGGTGCAGTGTAGTGTGTCCTGAGTGAGTAGTGCAGTAGTGAAGTGATGGCCCTCAGGGGTCGGGAGAGAGGGGCGCCGCTCCCTTGTGCGTGCCCGCGGCAGCCCCATCATCACCACAGTGACATGAGGCAGGTGGCCTGCCCGCCCACGCCTCCTACAGCGTGACGCCTGCTGACCCCAGGACACCATGGAGGGTAGGAGACGACAGGAGAGGAGGGAGGGAAAGGACAGGAAGGATGGAAAGGACGGAAAAGCGGGTCAGGCGGGCAAGACGACCACAGCCAAGCTGAAGGAGCGATGGCTGCTCACCAGGAAGACGTGGCGCTACATGAGCGACGCGGGGAAGAAACTGTTTCCTGATGGCGTCAACCCGCAGAAGACGGAAGATATACCTCGGGTAGAAGAACACTTTCAAAAAATTAACAATCGTAACCGTGACTTCATATTGTGGCCTCATCCAGCAGAGTCGCCACGCACTGCCCGGCGCAGACGTAAGCGACTAACTAGTGCCACGTCCGACACCACTGACACGGGTGACGACTATGCAGATACCGACGATGACATCCTCGACGGTGTGGGTGGAGGTCACCATGGCGTCACTCGTGAGGTGGGCATGGCCGTTGGTGAGGGCATGGCCCCTATCATGGCCATGGGGATTGGGATGGCCACGAGTTCGAGTGTGGGAATACCTGCAGGAACGAGTGCGTCACCAGTTGCAGCAGGGAGCCCAAGTACCAGCTCTGGTATATACACGGGCGCCACCAACTATGGTCCAGCCTTCCAGATGCCCCATCCTGGGGGTGTGCCCATCACCGGCTACCACAACCTGCCCATCACTGCTGGACTCGCACGGGAGCGGCTGCTGTCTGCTGGGGAGCTCAGGTACGAACTGCCGCCCGAGGTGTACCAGCAGTTGCTGCGGAGTTATGGATCTTGTAACCTGCAGCACGTCGCCTCCCGTCTTCTGGAAGAACAGTTAACTGAAGAAGACGAGGATGATGAAGACTCGGGCGAGCTGCTTGAGCTGGTTCTTCCCGGCACCCGCAGCGTCGGGTGTCAGACCGACCCGCACCTTGACATGTGTGTCCAGACCGATGACGACGCCACGGCTGAGGACATGGTTAAGGTTGGAGCGGAGTCACGGAGTGTCACGGAGGCTGCAGCAGCAGAAGCCCAAGCACAAGCTCGAGCACAAGCACAAGCTCTTCAGCAGTCACAAGGGGCAGCAACACAAGCATCTACTCCAGATGCAGGCAGCAGTAACACCTCTATGCTGAAGAAGCTGTGGCAGAGGCGAGAGAGTACAGCCAGCGTTAGCATTAAACCCGACGACCAGCAACACCAGGCAAAGGACACATCACCCAAGAAGTTGCCTTCTGATAAGGATCGAGAAGCACAGCCTCCAAAGGGTGTAGTGGCCGCTAAGTTGGCCTGGGCAGAGAAGACGGCGGCGGCTGGGGGGGCACCATTAGGTCCTCCTGGACAAAAGCCCAAACAAGAGAAAACACCAGAGAAGAGCAAGTTAAAAAATGTGTTTAAATTAGGGTTAAAGTGTGACGTGGAACAAGGCGGCTCCAACAAAAAATCGGTCGAAAAAACTAAAATTGATAAGTTTAAAACCGTTAATTATGATAAAACTTTACGTAACATCAAATCAAAATGGGTCCCAAGCACTGAACACGAGGATTTTTTGAGACAGTTTCAATGCAAAGATGAGAAAAAGGTGAAGAAAAAGGCGAAGGGGATCCAAGTGGGGGACCCCCTGCCACAATTCATCCTGGCGGGGTTCCGTATCAACGTCCCCGTCGAGATAATCCACCAGCGGCGTCGCTCACGCAGGCGGCTGTCCAAGGCCGATTCCAGCGATTTTTCGAGCAGCGAGTGTTCCATGAGCATCCCGCCGTCTCTACCCACCTCCCCGCGCTACTCCATCACCGTCACGGACGACATGGGCACCAGGAACCTACTCGTTTCCGAGGCTGAGGCTTTCCGACTCAGCCAGATGGGAGCTCACATCATTTACAAGCGCTCCAGTATTGACGCCTCGGTAGACACAAGTGAATTCGAAATGGAGGGCGCCGTAGGGGGACAACCGCAATACCAGCGGTCTATATCGGCCCTCCAGGCGTCTGGTCACCTGGCGCAAATGATGTACAATTTGCGGGGTCGGGCATCACACCCACAGGTCAACCCAGGTCAGGCAGGTCATCGAGGTAGCCAGGGACTACTTCAGTCTCTTCTCCCGGCAGTGATGCAGAGGACGCGGTCCGGGGGCAGCGGGCACACGTCACGACTGGTGGCCAAGAAGATCTGGCGGGCCAGGTCTAAGAGCCAGTCTAGAGCCTCGGCCGGCACCACCTCCATCTGGACCCCCATGGTAAGTACCTCACCAGTTAGTTATCCCACAGCAGGTGGCCAACAGGTATTAACACCTGGTGACCACGTGTGTCTTTTCAACTCCTCGATTACCAAACGTGACGAACAGTGATGTACCCCGCAAGACATGGACCTCCTGGAGCCTCTCACTCCCGGTACAACTTACCATCACTGTACCGTCAGGGTTACATAAGGATGTGTCCTGTCATTGCAATGTGACATACCAACTGTACCACCACCACCACACTACCTGTACCACCACCACACCACCTGTACCACCACCACCACACCACCTGTACCACCACCACACCACCTGTACCACCCACACACACCACCACCACCACCTGTACCACCACCACCCACCACCACCTGTACCACCACCACCACAACCACCACCACCTGTACCACCACCACCACACCACCTGTACCCACCACCACCACCCCACCACCATGTACCCACCACCGCACCACACACACACCACCACCCTACCACCTGTACCACCACCACACCACCTGTACCACCACCACACACACCACCTGTACCACCACCACACCACCTGTACTACCACCTGTACCACCACCACCACCTGTACCACCACCTGTACCACCACCACACCACCACCACCACCACATGTACCACCACCACACCACCTGTACCACCACAACCACACCACACCACCGCACCACCTATATCACCCACCACACCTGTACCACCACCACCACACCACCTGTACCACCACCACCACACCACCATACCCCACCCACCACCACCACCACCACACCACCTGTATCAACCACCACACCACCTGTACCACACCACCACACCACCACCTGTACCACCACCACACCACCTGTATCACCACCCACCACACCACCTGTACCCACCACACCACCACCACAACCACGTACCACCACCCACCACCTATACCACCACACCACCTGTACCACCACCACCACACCACCTGTACCACCACCACCACACCACCTGTAACCACCACCACCACCCACCTGTACCACCACCACACCACCTGTACCCACCACCACACCACCTGTACACCACCACCCACCACCCACCACCACCTGTACCACCACACCCACACCACCACCACTGTACCACCACCACCACCCCACCACCACCACACCACCTGTACCACCTGTGCACCACCACCACCACACCACACCACCACCTGTACCACCACCACCACACCACCTGTACCACCACCACACACACCTGTACCACCACCACACCACACCACCACCCACACCACCTGTACCACCACCACACCACCTGTACCACCACCACCACACCACCTGTACCACCACCACACCACCTGTACCACCACCACCACACACCTGTACCACCACCACACACACACCTGTACCACCACCACCACACCTGTACCACCACCACCACACCACCTGTACCACCACCACCACACCACCTGTACCACCACCCACCACCACCATACCACCACCACCACCACACCACCTGTACCACCACCACCACCACCACCACCACACCACACCACCACCACCACCACACCACCACACACCACCTGTACCCACCACCACCCACACCACCTGTACCACCACCACACCACCTGTACCACCACCACCACCACCTGTACCACCACCACACCACCTGTACCACCACCACACACCACCACACCACCACCACACCCACCCACCACCACCACACCACCTGTACCACCACCACCACACCACCACCTGTACCACCACCACACACCTGTACCACCACCACCCACCACACCACCACCACACCACCACCACCACCACCACACCACACCACCCCACCACCACCACCACCACACCACCACCACCACCACACCACCTGTACCACCACCACACCACACCACCACCACACCACCTGTACCACCACCACCACCACTGTACCACCACCACCACACCACCTGTACCACCACCACCACACTGTACCTGTGCCACCACCACCACCACCACCACCCACCACCACCCACACCACCTGTACCACCACCACCACACTACCTGTGCCACCACCACCACCACACCACCTGTACCACCACCACCACACCACCTGTACCACCACCACACCACCTGTACAACCTGCTATTGTGTGACGCTGTGAGCCATATGGTAAGATGACCTAACCGTCACACGAGGTAGTGGGCGTGTTAGCTGTATTATGTAAGAGCTTGTAACCTGAGCTTAATTAATTACAAGACAGGTATAGACTATCACACAACATCTCAGTGTACTACTTTGTGTGTGGAACATCCTGACACCAGAGACGATGATGAGTAATGTTTTGTTCCTTTTACCTTCTGTTATTGTGCCCACAGTCAGGAGAACAGTTAGATATCCACACTGATGGAGCCACGGTTCATACTGAAGGGGCTAAGTTATCATACTGAAGGGGCTAAGTTATCATACTGAAGGGGCTAAGTTATCATACTGAAGGGGCTAAGTTATCATACTGAAGGGGCTAAGTTATTATACCGAAGGGGCTAAGTTATCATACTGAAGGGGCTAAGCTATCATACTGAAGGGGCTAAGTTATCATACTGAAGGGGCTAAGTTATCATACTGAAGGGGCTAAGTTATCATACTGAAGGGGCTAAGTTATCATACTGAAGGGGCTAAGTTATCATACTGAAGGGGCTAAGTTATCATACTGAAGGGACTAAGTTATCATACTGAAGGGGCTAAGTTATCATACTGAATGGACTAAGTTATCAAACTGAAGGGGCTAAGTTATCATACTGAAGGGGCTAAGTTATCATACTGAAGGGGCTAAGTTATCATACTGAAGGGGCTAAGTTATCATACTGAATGGACTAAGTTATCATACTGAAGGGGCTAAGTTATCATACTGAAGGGGCTAAGTTATCATACTGAAGGGGCTAAGTTATCATACTGAAGGGGCTAAGTTATACTGAAGGGGCTAAGTTATAGTAGATACATTTTGAAGCACGTGTGTGTGTGTGTGTAAAATAAGTCGGAGTTAGAAGAGTAATTTATGACGCAATTTGTGACGCAATCGATGGCATTACAAGTAGAATTTCATTGGAGGAGAGATAATGAGGCTGGCCACTCGCCACTTGCCTGGCCGTCTCAGAGTAATCGCTCATTGGTCGAAGCAGGTACACTCACCTATGACGCCATCGACATGTTCGGGTAAAAACATGTTGTCACTGTACAGTTAACTAGATGTTGTCACTGTACACTCAACAGTTAACTTAATGTTGTCACTGTACACTCAACAGTTAACTTAATGTTGTCACTGTACAGTTAACTAGATGTTGTCACCGTACACTCAATGGTTAACTAGATGTTGTCACTGTACACTCAACAGTTAACTAGATGTTGTCACTGTACACTCAACAGTTAACTAGATGTTGTCACTGTACAGTTAACTAGATGTTGTCACCGTACACTCAATGATTAACTAGATGTTGTCACTGTACACTCAACAGTTAACTAGATGTTGTCACTGTACACTCAACAGTTAACTAGATGTTGTCACTGTACAGTTAACTAGATGTTGTCACTGTACAGTTAACTAGATGTTGTCACTGTACACTCAACAGTTAACTAGATGTTGTCACTGTACACTCAACAGTTAACTAGATGTTGTCACGGTACACAGTACAGTTAACTAGATGTTGTCACTGTACACTGTACAGTTAACTAGATGTTGTCACTGTACACTCAACAGTTAACTAGATGTTGTCACTGTACACTCTACAGTTAACTAGATATTGTCACGGTACACTGTCCAGTTAACTAGATGTTGTCACTGTACACTGTACAGTTAACTAGATGTCGTCACTGTACAGTTAACTAGATGTTGTCACTGTACACTCAACAGTTAACTAGATGTTGTCACTGTACACTCAACAGCTAACTAGATGTTGTCACTGTACACTCTACAGTTCACTAGATGTTGTCACTACAGTTAACTAGACGTTGTCACTGTACACTCAACAGTTAACTAGATGTTGTCACTGTACAGTTAACTAGATGTTGTCACTGTACACTCAACAGTTCACTAGATGTTGTCACTGTACAGTTAACTAGATGTTGTCACTGTACAGTTAACTAGATGTTGTCACTGTACACTCAACAGTTAACTAGATGTTGTCACTGTACACTCAACAGTTAACTAGATGTTGTAACTGTACAGTTAACTAGATGTTGTCACTGTACACTCAACAGTTAACTAGATGTTGTCACTGTACAGTTAACTAGATGTTGTCACTGTACACTCTACAGATAACTAGATGTTGTCACTACAGTTAACTAGACGTTGTCACTGTACACTCAACAGTTAACTAGATGTTGTCACTGTACAGTTAACTAGATGTTGTCACTGTACACTCAACAGTTAACTAGATGTTGTCACTGTTCAGTTCACTAGATGTTGTCACTGTACACTCTACAATTAACTAGATGTTGTCACTACAGTTAACTAGACGTTGCACTGTACACTCAACAGTTAACTAGATGTTGTCACTGTACAGTTAACTAGATGTTGTCACTGTACACTCAACAGTTAACTAGATGTTGTCACTGTACAGTTAATTAGATGTTGTCACAGTACAGTTAACTAGATGTTGTCACTGTACAGTTAACTAGATGTTGTCACTGTACACTCAACAGTTAACTAGATCCTGTCACTACAGTTAACAAGATGTTGTCACTGTACACTCAACAGTTAACTAGATGTTGTTACTGTACGTTAACTAGATGTTGTCACTGTACACTCAACAGTTAACTAGATGTTGTCACTGTACACTCAACAGTTAACTAGATGCTGTCACTACAGTTAACAAGATGTTGTCACTGTACACTCAACAGTTAACTAGATGTTGTCACTGTACACTCTACAGTTCACTAGATGTTGTCACTGTACACTGTTCAGTTCACTAGATGTTGTCACTGTACACTCTACAGTTCACTAGATGTTGTCACTGTACACTCTACAGTTCACTAGATGTTGTCACTGTTCAGTTCACTAGATGTTGTCACTGTTCAGTTCGCTAGATGTTGTCACTGTTCAGTTCACTAGATGTTGTCACTGTACAGTTCACTAGATGTTGTCACTGTACACTC